GCCATATTGGATTTATGGTCCTTCTATCTGAGGTCTGGATAGATGCTAGACCTTTAGTAGTCTTAGCCATCTGGAGCTGAATTGATAAATGTAGAAATGAAAAAAGAAACTTCTCTGAGTAAAAGACATTTTTTGTTAATTCCAGGCACAAAATCAATGTGCTTTACTCCACAGAACAGATGATCTGCCTTTAGGCAAGACTATTGGTATAAAAATGGTCAGTAGATCAAAGAAGGGACATAATGGCATAACAAATAATGACAACAGAAAGAAAGGAAGAAGAAACCCCATTCAGTAGTATGGCTGGCTGTGGCCACTTAATACAGATTCAAGGATTAATGAGTTTGCCTGTGGCCATCCAATAACTGTTAAGAGTGCCTGGTTAGGATTGAGTGCTGATTCTTAAATTATTCATCTTTCCACTGAACCATCAAGATAAGGTGGCAGGTATGATCACTGCATAGGAGCAGGGTTCAAAATTGATTTTAGGGTAGGAGTTTGAGACTTGAGGAGGGGATAGACTTGGTACAAACAGTTTTTCCAGAGCATTATTCAAAGGGTCACATGCAAAATTTACTGGAGTAGGGAAAATGTGTGATAGGGAGAGACCATTTTGGAACATAACTAGAATAGTAAGAGTGGTGTCATAAATGATTTGGAAGGCCAAAAAAAGTAGATTTAAAGAAAGGGAAAATTTCGAGGCCAGTGATAGTGCTATCCCAGAGAATCAAAGGCTGTTAGAGGCACTGAAGAGCACCTTTGAGTTCAGTTCTTTAGGAATTGAGGAAACTGAAACCTTGAGATCATAGAACAACTTAGTTAAGCCCGTTTCTAACCCCCAAACCAGCCTTTTACTCACTCCATGGTTTTGTTCTTTGTGGGCTGTAATATCCAATTTTAAACTCAAAATTATATGGCAGATATTAAATCAGTACCTCTGAGTTTCTAATCCACCTCCATTGCTGCCTTCACAGGCACTTGGACAGCAGTGACAGTGTCTTCACTGCCCAGTATCTCCATGACTGAAGGATTGCCTTATTGTATTTATCTCAGATTTCTTCATGAGGCCTGCCTTTTGTGTGGTATCCTCCCCAAAGTCTTGCTGTGTTTGGATTTGGAATATTATAGTAATGTGCTTGGACTTATCTACATTAAATATTTAAGGAGTACCTCTTCCACACAGTCTATTACGGGACAGCTGTTCATGTATCCCATAGTAGCTGTTGCTTAGGAAGAATCATTCTTGAAAAGGATGTTTTCACTGACCTGCTTATCAATACTGCATGAGTTTGTTACATTTTCTTCTTTTATAGTTCAAATCTTAGTGTATTTTTTTAGGCTTAAGAATGACAGCTTGGTAAGGACTTTGAATATCATCTTAGTCATGCCCTCTTATATTACATGTGAAAAAGACAATGGTTTCAAGGACCTGAAACTTTCCTAAGGTCATCATGAGTTAGTGATGGTTAAATAGTGCTTGACCTCTCCATAAGTGAAATGGAGATGATTCTCATAAATGAAATGGAGGTGATTCCAGTTCTGTCTACCTCAAATATTTTTATGAGGATTAGTGAGTCTTTAGAAAACCATGCACAAAATAAAAATATTATCATTATCAAGGCTTTTAAGTCAAGACAAAGCACTATTCTATGAAGTTGAATAAAAACATGAGCCTTCAGATTAGGAACACCTCATTATTATATAACTTTCTGTCCATTAGGTTATAAATTCCTTTATAATTAGAGATTAGTTCAATTGTTAATACAATATTTTTACATATAGGGAAATTAAAGTTACACACATTAGCGGAGCCCAAACTCAGAACTACCAAAATTCATGTTAGCCCTTTTATAGTGCTTTTCATAACTCAGCATCTTGTGCACAGCAAGAACTGTTTGCAGTCTGGAGAGCAGGCGCAAGAGTACTTATATCACCATGAGATTCTTTCCATGGAGAAACATTATGATTGATTGAGAGGAGAATCAAGAATTGTCTCTTGTCCTCAGGGCCCCCGTTTTCTGTGGTGTATTCTGGTAGGGTATCGAACAACTCCTTTTGAGTCATTGTTTAAAATCAGTGGACAGTTTTGCCTGTTCATATTTGAAGCTAATGTGTAGTTTTCTTCTTGATTTTTTTTTTCCCCTTTCATTTAAGCTTTTCTTGTCCTTTTAGGGGTGTCATTATGCTCAGGGAAAGTAAATAGATCAAGATACTTTCAAATGTTATCTGTCTTGCATGTTGGCAGCCACTGTGACTGGGGACTTGCCACACCAGACAAGAAGCAGGTATCCCTGTCTGGGATGTATATGCAGTAGTTTAGACTTTGAATGAGCATTGTTCTGGTAGGTCTGTTTCTAGTCAGGCGTGCCTAATCTTCCCAATACCCAGCATTTTTTTTTTTAAGAGTAGGAAGAATTTATTGAGGGAAAGAAAGCTTCTTTCTAAGAGAGACAGAGGAGGTCATGATAAAATGGATTGCACATCAACCCCACTTCTCAAGGGTGTTTTATTGAATAAAGCCACAAGATGAGGTAGGTTCAAGGTGGGACAGAACTGTAATCAGTCAATAAGATTATAGGTATAGTCGCTGAGGTAATATTGATCCAATGAGAAATCACAAGGTGGTTATGATGTAGGACAAATCTAGGGTCAACCAATAAGATTACAACAAAGATAGTTGCTTGAGTATTAATGATTAATGGGGATCAAATTGAGAAGCACACCTAGCAAGCACACATGAGATGGACAAGGACTTCTCTAGATCAGTGAGTTAAGGAGGTTTGATCCTCCGCTCCAGGTTATTGATGCCTACTTAGAATATCAATCACTATTGGTCATTCCTTGGGGAAGTATATGGGTGAGTAGTTCCTTTTCTTTAAGCTTGGCCTTCAGTGAATGCGCCTCTAGCTATGATTATCTTCTGTATTGACCTTTCCAGGACCAAGCCCTGCCTGACTGCCTACAATGTTTCTACCTAATTTAGCTATCTATAATCCCTCCTCTAAATAAGTAACCCTAATTTCTTTAAAAGGGCAAGGATTGAAGACTGATATGGCTATTTCCAGCTGAGGAGGGTCTAGTTGTGATTGACAGACAGAGATACTCCACAGATGGCCTATCTAGTAGGCACTAGGTGATCTTGTCTTAGGCAGATGTACAGCTTAGTCTGGAGGAAATGAGGTCACAGAAACAATTAAGTATACTTGGGCCAAATAATAAAATCAGCAGGATAATTATGAGTATCACCAACTAAGTTTCTACCAGGAGCGGCAGGTACTAGCTTTCTGTAAAGAGGGTAAGGAAAAGATCCAGGGAATTTCAGAATCTGACACCGACACCCAGCTTTGTAGGAAAGGTGTTTTATATTGGCTTTCTTTTTTTTTTTGCACCAAATAGCTTCATGTAATTGCATTCAATATGGCTTTATGTATGAATGTGCTTAATTTGGAAGCATTTGAAATAGTCCTAATAATCTTTTCTTCTTTTTTTTTTTTTAATGCAACAGAAAATGCCCCAAAAATAATAGAGGACGTCGACAGAAGCAAAACTTAGGTCATTTTACTTCAGATACATCATCTAGAATGGTTTAAACTGATGACTTTTATATGTACGCTGACCATGTGATATACACTTATTATGTCTTTTTTTAAAAAATGGAAATATTTATTTCAGAGGCCTTATTTTTGGACATTTTTAGTGTAGTACTGTCGGCTCGTATTTAGAATATTTAACTACAACAGTTTTGGACTGTTTAGTAGTCTTTGTTTTATGGTTTTAAATACAGAAGTTGATTTCACAAATTTGTACCACATGGTAATTCTAAGATTTGTTCTTTACCCATGGAATGTAATATTTTTGCAAAAATGGACCCACTCACAAATGGTTATAAAGTCATACTCACTTCTTCCACAGTGACCACAGCAAATGACCAAGCATGAACTAAAGGTAAAGATGTTTACAGATTACTTTTCTTACACATAAAAAAACCCTAGAAGACACTGTGTTTAAATAGATATTTAAATGTTTTTGAGATTTAGTATCTGATTTTTTTAGACACTGCGTACCGCATGAACTACAAAGCTGTGTGTGTTAGATGTAAAATATTTATAAAATGTATGGACTGAAATTTCGTTATTCCTCACTTTGAAACAATAATTCTGATAATTTGAAAAAGAACCTGGTAGTAGTGATGGAACAGATCACTAAAAAATAGATTTAGATATTGTCAAAATAGACTTTTTAACAAAGGAACTGGAATAAAGCCTTCTATCAGTTACACTACTTTAATACACATTCATTTTTAAACAAAATATTTGTTTTAACATAAATAAACAAATTGTATCAGTGTTTGTGAATACAATGCAAAATTGTTAATGATTGGTGCTCTTAAAGTGAGCTTAAAAATGACCTAAGACCTCTATCTGAATTTGTCCTGTAATAATAGTTATATTAATAGATTGTTGGTGTTTAAAGGTCTGAAGTGTGAGTAGAATGTATTGAGCTATTTAATGTGTAGTTTAGGTACTTAAAAGTATGCATGGAGAATTTACAAAATATGTTCAAAATTAAATATTAATTTTAATATTTGGTTTGGAAAAGCATGTTATAATATAATGTTTTCACTATATGACCTGTTTCGGTGTGGTTATTTACTTTATTCTTTAATATTGATGTATCAGTATATATAATAGATGAATTTAAGAAAAAGCAGATTGTATTTCAAAATTCCACTTGCTTTTACAAATACTACTTGGAATTATTGAAAGACAAAAGCTTTACCCAGTAGTTGGAATTTGTTACTTGGCTACTAGCCTTAAGTAAGGCAGCTTCAGTGAACTTTTTTAAAAAAGCTTTTATCTACTCCCACACAGTCTTATTTAAGTCCCTTAGTCAATCAGCAAGCATGTTTGGAACAGTTTCCTATGCTTTGCGAGGGCTCATATTGCAGAACGGTCACGTATGTGTATTTGTAGTTATAAATACTTGACCGTTCTCCAGGGGCGGGGTTTCCAACCCTTTAAGCAGCTCTGTTGCCTGTTATCAAGCTGGGTTTTTGCTCCAACTGCCAGAATTAATTGCAGTAGGACTCCTCTTACTGAAAAATAAAATGGAACATAACGGGTCTGCTTCAAATGCTGATAGAATCCACCAAAATCGTCTGTCGAGTGTCTCTGAAGATGAAGACCAAGATGCTGCTCTTACTATTGTCACTGTGCTGGACAAAGTCGCCACCATTGTGGACAGTGTGCAGGCAAGCCAGAAGAGAATAGAAGAGAGACATAGGGAAATGGAAAATGCCATAAAATCTGTGCAGATTGACCTGTTGAAGCTTTCACAGTCACACAGCAATACAAGCTATGTCATTAACAAGCTGTTTGAGAAAACTCGAAAAGTCAGTGCTCACATTAGAGATGTGAAGGCCCGAGTAGAAAACCAACAAGTTCGTGTGACAAAAGTTGAAACCAAACAAGAAGAAATAATGAAGAAAAACAAATTCCGTGTTGTAATATTCCAGGTAAGCTTGCATTAATGTTCATCTTGCTTTCTATAATCTCTTGGATCCTTTAATTGCCAGCATGTCCTATCAGAGGTTTTCTATGTCACTTCTTAGCCTTTGTATGTATAATGTATAGAGTTCTGGATCAGCAGAGACCTCATGGTAAAACAATTTCTACATTAATTAATGTACTATCATATCTGTATTTTTAACTTCTCAAGCATTTCATGTAATATGAACTGTGGCTAATACCGAAGGCTATTTCTTGCCTTTGAAACTTAATATTGGAAAGGCTCTTTTACCATGTTAGCCTTAGTGTAGTGTGCATGATGTCCTCTCATAGAATTTGTAAATGTTAGCCCTAGAAGAGACCTTTGAAATCTCTAGTTTAAAACACCTCATGATTGCATGAAAGCTAGGAGGGTTGCTTCCCTGCTATGCCTTGAGATTCCACAGAACTATGAAAACAGGAAATCTGGCAACTAATATACTTAGAAAAATATTTATTCTTATTGTAGAGAGACTGGAAAGTCCAACCAGTAAAATATAAATGTTTAAGAATGTTATGTGTTTATTGGAATTTTTACTTATCAACCATAATAATAGGAACAGCTATTTCTTTAAGGAGCAATCAGGATTTAAACATATTGTTACAGTATTACTTTAATATAGATACAGAAGTTACATAAATAGTTCCTTATTTGATTGCAGATTCTTTTTACCTAGCTGATTTAACAATGTCATTTTTATGTGGCAGTGTGTATTGAGCTAAGTTCCTGTAACACTGTGCTCACATCTTAAAAATAGAACTGTATCAATGGCAAATACATAATATCTACAGTATATTTTATAAACTCTTACAAATTAGAAGGAAAGAATTGAACTCTTCTCCCACCATAAAAAAAAAGTGAAGTCAGATGTATAGTAGAGCTTAAGGGTATGAGAAAGGAAGTATCTTCATGTTTTGCTGAAAGAAATATTAATTAATGCAAAGTAGTTTTACTAAGTGTAAATTTTACTCTGTTATAAACCTTTAAAAATTTGCAAATCTTAGCCAAAAATTTTTTGTTCTAAAAATAAGATCAGAAGTCCGGCTTAATAGCTCAGCAGATTAAAGCACCTGCAAGCAGACGCAGGGCCCCGGGATTCGATGCCCAGGCTTGCTGTGCTGGCCCCACCCCCAGGACATGCTGAGATGGCAATTGAGTGGTGGTGTGCACCTGTAATCCCAGTTCTTGGGAGGCTGTAAACAGGCGGATCACTACGAGTCCAATCTAGTAGTGAGACCCTGAACACCCTGTAGACCCTTCCCTAAAATAGAGAAAAAATGAAAATAAATAAATAATAAGATCAGGAATGTGTGCAAGGATGTACAATAATGGATATATAAAGTGTTATCACAACTGTATTTTTAAAATGGACACCTGTGTGCACAAGGGGAGAACTCTGCAAGAGTAAAAATAAAGTAGAAACACTGGTGGGTTATGTAGAGAAATACTGTGAACTCCTAAAGATGTCACCTGTAAGCACCCAGAGTGTTCTTTACCCATTAGTCATTTCTCTGTAGTCTTTGTTGACTGACAGAGTTACACTGGGATGGTAAAGTGGCATTTTGGATTTATTGTAAAGTACTTGCAATTGTTTAGAAAAAAGACTAGGAAAAAGAGAGAGTAGCGGTGCTATATCAGAGGTGGGCAGAATGGAGTATGCCTCTCAAAGTCCTTTCCCATTTCCCTTTCCTTCCAGGTCCCTTGAGACCATTTCTGCCTTAAAAAAAAATCTCACCATACTTTCAGAGGCTGGTTCAGTGTTAGGGTATGTTGCAGGGAATCTAGATGTGGTGTTAGAGAACATAGTACTGGCTCTTCGGTTCATATTCTAAGTGTATTAGTGAATGGTTTTCAACCTCCATTTATGTGTGCTGTGCCAGGAACATAGCAGCATCCAGCATAACTCCTGAGGATGTTTTTGCCAGGCAGTGGACCCAGGTGTCAGTCAAGATATAGCACAAACACTTCTGAAAGTGCTGTTTGTCCACTGATAACAATTTCTTTGAGATTAAAATGCTTTTATTTTTACTCCCTGTAACTTACTGGTAATTTTTCCTATCTTCAAGCTCCTGTAATGAAAGAAACTGGGAAGTACTAATTTAGGACAGATTTCTTTCCTTATAAGGTGTTAAGCCATGAAAATTCTGTGAAATTACGTTGTGGAGAGTAGTGCAGCAATTTGCCAAAAAGCAGTTGTTACATTTTATAAACGTGGAGAAAAGATAAAGGCATATGGCATGGACAGAGAGCTAGAACACTCACAGTGTTCACATGGTTATTCTTAGCACTTAAAAATAGTTGTAATTATTGTAGCTCATTTGTATATGTGGATATGTAGAGATTTTCCCTTCTACTAAAATTATCTTGTAACTGAGCTGTTAACTTACAGTACAATTGTTTTTTTCCATTTGAGTTTTTCCTGAAAAAGGCCTGGGTATATCTTTTTGCTGTAATACTTTTTTTTTTTGTCTTTTTGAGACAGTCTCATCGTGCAGCTCAGGCTGGCCTTGAGCTCACTTTGTAGCCCAGGATGGTTTTGAACTTGCAGAAATCTTTCTGCCTCAACCTCCCAAATGCTGGGGTTTCAGGCATGTGCCACCACGCCCAGCTTCGACTGTAATCTTTATTGATATTATGTCTCCTATAATTGTTTAAAAATAATATTTTAAAGGCAGTTATGTTTCTCTTTGAATACACTTTCATCTTGATGATCCCTCTTTGTCAGTCCTGTGAGCCACACATTATATTGTGTCTTCCTGTAATTTTGGTCATTAACTGCTAGTATCTGGTTACTAAGTGAGCTGTTTGGCTATGCCCTAATGGTAAGTCCCAGACTTCTATGTATCTAAAAATTCCCAGCTATATTACTTTACTGTTTAGTCAAGTGCACTTTACTCTTCCCCACTGTGTATTCATTGTTACAAAAATGACATTTTTTTTTTAACCTGAAACTTTACAAATACAATTATACTTAGGAATCAACTCTAATTCAACCCTATAATCTTCAATTATTATCAGAGTATATTCACCATTCATTTATTGCTGACTCATAGGAATTGTAAAATGGGTCTCTAGAGCAAGTACTTTTTCTGACTCCACTTCATTGTGCTGTTTTTTTAGGCTGATTTGGTAGTATTTGTTGTACAGTGGAACAGAACGGTGTGTGCTTCCTGAGTTAAGCTATATCTGATGTCTTTATAGCAAGCTCAGGATAGTTTTTTCCCTACCAAGAAGTAATTACTCAAGGTCTCCTTCCTTTTCCAATTATTCCTTCTCAGGCCAGGCCAACCCACACTGTATTGCTGAAGCTATTCGCCTCTGCAGCTGTCAGGAAAGGAGAGGAATAATTTTACTGTCTCTTAACTGATTCATCAGAGAGTTATGAGACACCCACCTCTGCCTTTTTTAGTTCGCAGACATTCCAGTCCTGTAGCCAGATAATTTAATTTTAAATAAATATCCAAAGAAATAAGGTTCCAGGGATGCCTTCTTGACTACCAGGCTGATTAAATTTTAGAATGTGTAAGTGTATTTTTGTATACATTATTGAATAGACATAATCTGGATCTCAAACAGAACACGATTTCTTTTAGCTAATTTGTGGTTCAGTTAAAAAAATCTCATGATCCTTACAGTTGGGATTGTTTGGTTTTAGAAATAATCTGAATAGTAAGCTGTCCTCCTTTATACCCGTGCTCTGGCCAGGCTTCAAGGCCACCTGTGTCTGTTGTTTTCTCCCATCCAGCTTTCACCCATAATCTTTGGATACCTGACATAATTGTTGGACCTCTCCCTCTCTTATTGAAATTGCTTCCTGCTCAACCTCTGGCAGTGCTGCATTCTTCTGGGTGTGTGTGTGTGTGTGTGTTTTTTTTTTTCTCCTGTTTTGTGGTTGATATTTCTCCTTTCTTATTCTTTTTTATCTCTTCCTTCTTATCTTCAAGACCCAAATCCATGATCACCAGCATGAGACTTGAAAATATTTTATAAATATTACCAAAGGTAACTTGGTAATAAGTCTTAGCTTGACCTGAAGTTATTTGGTGGTAGAACCTAACCTGAAATAGCATGAGGTTATATATGGTTTATCCAACCTCAGTGTAAGTGTTCGTATTTCTTACTGTAGAATTGTTTGTTCCTAAGATCTCACTGGGGTCACATGTTTGTAGTGCATCACATTATTTTTACAAAATCCAGAATATTTTGAATTTTGAACATGCCTTATCTCCAAGGAATGTTGAATGTCTTAGTGACTTCTGCCATCCTCATGACTTTAGGTGTTCTGCTTTTTTTTTTTTAAATTAAACTTTTTTTAATGGTCCTTCATTTAATATATTTTTATTTATTTTTTATTGTTTATTTATTCATTTATTTTTTGTGTGTGGCCAGCTCAGCCCACCAGGAGGCGGAACTGGCTGACATGTGGTGCTGGGGGTTGAACCGTGGTCCCTGTGCTTTGCTTAGCTTAGTTTGTTCTAAGTAGGTGCTTTAGACCACTGAGCCATCTCACCAGCCCCCTCATGACTTTTATTATCATTCTATATCAATGACTCTGAAATTTAACTTTAGGACACTCATGTGCTTAACTTCCCCTACCCCATCTCTACCACGTGTCCAATGAGTGTTTCAAAGACGTGCTGAGATCTTGTCTTTCTCGACCAGTCTCTCCCTCCTGCTGTCATTATGTTAGTTTAGCAAATCCTGTAGCTACTCTCACCTTACCTTGCCCCTATAGCTTGTTTTCAACAGAGTCATCCTTATGTAGTGTCAGATCATCTCAAAATCTTTAAAAATTATTCTCTAATACTCAGAATAGAGACCAGTTATCTTTTGTATTAGACACAGAGTCCTTTGTAACATGGCCCATGTGCTCTCTCTCATCCTTCTTGTTCCTCTTGCTCCTTGGTCACTTTGTTTTAGCTGCACTGTCTCTTAAGTATCTCTTTTCTTCCTGCACAGCCTTCAGGTCCAGGCTTAGATGTCACTTTGTTAAGCCTTTCTGTCCAATGCATTTCTGAATAGCACTTCCCCTTGCACTGAGCATCCCCTTCTTGCTCTTTGCACCTTGGCATTCATTGCCACACAACTTGCTATGTATTTTACACATTTGTCTCTCTGTCTCTCCAAGAAACAATGATCTCTTTCGTTTGTTTTTTTTAAAATAAAGTTTCTGAGTTCCTGTGATATTGAATAATATATGATGATAGCTAGCTTCCTAACTCTTTGTTGAAGACATAAGTTTATTAATCCAATAATAATTTATTAGAGTATACCTACTATATATGCTGGGAGTAAATCAGAATTAATCATAGTACTGTCTCTGCTTTGAGGACCCTAACACCACACTAGGCCCCAGGAGCACACACATAAATAAGTATAATTCTAGTTCAATTCAAACTGCAGTAACTTGCAGTGGTGCAAACGTATTGCTTTGGTATAAATTGGAGACATCAGCCACCTTGGGGAATTCTGGTCATTTGAAATTGATGCTTGAAGAAAGGCACCCTTCAGAGTTGTAAAGAGGAGGGTCACTTAAGGTGTCTAACAGAAACCTTACAGGGAATGAAAACATTTTATGCTTTAGGAACTGAGTGGTTGCTAGGTTAGTGAAGAGGGAAAACGGGTCAGGCTGACTGGAGAGATTCTGAGCACACTCCACAATTTGAATTCTCTCCTACAAGTATGGAGGAATCTCCAGAAAGTTTTAAAGAGATGTGATCAGGATTATGCTTCAGTAATATTCTTCAGAAAATAGGTGATATTCTAGAAGTTGAGGGACCAGTAAACAGTCATTACATAGTTCATGCCTGAGATGACAAGAATCTCAGTTACAATATTAGTAGAGAAAGGAGGGAGCATGTGAGTTGTTAAACAAATATTATTCATAGGGCTTGGTGACCAGTTGAATGTAGGATGAGTGGGAGAAGAAATACTAAGGATGATGATTCTTGGGTTTCTATGTGTGTGGCACCTGGATAGTTATTGGTACAGAGCGATAGAGGAGAAGAAGTCAAAGTGAAGAGGATGATGAATGCGCCATGATGTTTGGACTTGGTATGTTTGAGGGGCCTGTTACACACAGGTGAAATTCTCCCATTATTTTTGTGTGTCTTCATTTTAGAAGTGGAGAGGTATAGATGAAGTGAGGAAAGGATCACAGAGAAAGAAGACCTGGGCAATTCCAGCGTTTCAGAAGTAGGGAGAGGATAAATAGCCCATGGAGAAAGTTTGCAGGATGTGGCTAGCAGGCCCAAGAGCTGTTCTGTACTGCAAACAAAGCACTTACCTGCTCTGCTTTTCTTTTCTTTAGGAAGAGCTTCGATGTCCGACATCCCTGTCCATTGTCAAAGACAGAAACCTCACCAAGAACCAGGAGGAAGAAGACAGTGTCTTTGATCCCCCGATAGAGCTCTCTTCTGATGAGGAATATTATGTTGAAGAAAGCAGATCTGCCAGGTTTAGAAAGTCAGGCAAGGAGCGCATCGATCACATCAAAAAGGCATTTTCCAAAGAAAACATGCAGAAGACAAGGCAGAATTTTGACAAGAAAGTGAACAGAATTAGAACAAGAATAGTGACGCCTGAGAGGAGAGAGAGGTTGAGGCAGTCAGGAGAGAGGCTGCGGCAGTCAGGAGAGAGGCTGCGGCAGTCAGGGGAAAGATTGAAGAAATCTATTTCTAGTGCCGCTCCCTCAAAGGAAGCCTTTAAAATGAGCAGCCTTAGGAAGGCCAAAGACCGAACTGTGGCTGAAGGTCAGGAAGCAGGCAGGGAGATGGGTGTGGACATGGTTGCCCGGAGCCCGTCTCTAGTTCCCATCCCTGAGCTCCATACTGATGAGCTCAGTGAAACAGAGCAGGAGGAAGCCAGGGCAGGGTATGTGGCCCATGGAGGAGGGGAGATCTCAACCCCTGAGCCTTTAAAGGTTACTTTTAAACCTCAGGTGAGAGTAGAGGATGATGAATCGCTTTTGTTAGATTTAAAGCAGTCCTCATAAGGAGAAATTAGGTAAAAAGGCTCAAATCATGGAGTTTTAATTTGTGTGATATAATTATCTACATTTATTTATATGCTGTATAGGAAAATTAGTGATATGAGTGTATCATTTCTTACATTTAAAATTTTGACTACCATATAAATATTATATACATTTCCTTGGGAATTCTTTTTATTTTTTGTGGGCATATATGATAGTAGGTAGCAGCCTTTTCCCTCTCCTGTTGTCTATCTTTGTGGCAGCATGTGGTTATAGCATGATAACTTTATTAATAGTGAGACACTTCCAAGTCAGCTGCTTATCCTTACCCATAGCAGCGTGGTGGCTTTGCCTCTTCTGCCCTGCTGAGGGCAATGTCACACGGTCTGGGAGAGCAGGCAAACCTTTAGAGAAAGGAACCACTCTGGGCTCTCATTTACACCTTCTGAGTAATCCCTGAGCACCAGGCAGTGAGGGCCTAGGTTGGACAAAAATTAAAATCAGTCCTCTTAAATATTTTCTTAGAAGCAAGTATATAAAATAAATGTTTGAATGATAAACTTTTCATCAAAGACTACAGCCAATGGGGCTGGTGAGAGCTCAGTGGTCTAAAGCGCCTGCTCAGGCAAGTGCACAGGGACTGTGGTTCCATCCCCAGCACCACATGCCACACTAGCCCCACCCCAGGGTGGGCTGAGGCAGCCACAACAAAAATAAAGACTACAACCAAACTTCAGGTTTTGTATGTCTCTTCAAATGTTTCTTGGAAAATACTTTTTCCCCCTCCGTATTTTAAGGAAGAGTCTACATGGTGTTCAGGGTTTCACTACTAGATCGGTCTCATAGTGATTCTCCTGTTTACAGCCTCCCAAGTGCTGGGATTACAGGCATGCACCATCATTGCTGTCTCAGCATCCCCCAGGGGCAGGGCCAGCACAGCAAGCCCAGGGATTGAAACCTTAGCCCCTGTGCCTGCTTGCAGGCACTTTAATCTGCTGAGCTATTTGGCTGGCCCTGGAAAGTACTTTTCTAATTTTCTTTTGCTTTTAGATTTGTGGTGGACTCTAGTAGCAACTTTTGCAGTGTGAGGCATAAGACTGGCTCTGTTATCAATTACCTTGCTTTCTCCCCCCCCCCTTTTTTTTTATTTGGTTTTTTTTTTTTGTGCCCCCCCCCCTTTTTTTTTTTTGGTGGAACCAGGGATTGAACTCAGGTCCTTGTGCTTGCCAGGCAAGCGCTTTTTCTACTGAGCTATCTACCCGGCCCACTTTTCTTTTTCTTTTATAAGGGATTGGACACAGTCCTTCACATTGAGCTTCATACATTCTTCATACATACATCCCCCCCTTAATTATTTTGAGAAAGAGTTTTGCTCTGTAGTTCAGGCTAGTCTTCAACTTATCTGTAGCCCAGGCTGGCCTTGAACTTGTAGCAGTCCTGTGTTAGCCTTTTGAGTGCTGAGATTACAAACAGGCATGTACCAGCATGCCTGGCCTTTCAGTCCTTTTTGAGATAGTCTGTTTCTTGCTAAGTTACCTAGGTAGTTTTGAACTCAATCCTTGTGCATCAGCTTTCCAGTAGCTGGGATTACAAGATTGTGCCACTATGCGTGGCTGTCAGGTGGCATTTGTAAAGCCTTTTGTGTTGCTGTGGGCTTGGAAATTACCTCCAGCGCTTCTCTTTTCCAGAGTGAAGCCTTCGTGGCCCAGCTGTACAGTACAGCATTTATAAGTGTTCATCATAACTGCTTTGAGTCAGATTGCTCTTAGCTGTTAACTTTTAGAGAGGAAGTAGATTAATTCCAAAGAAAGAAATGGTCATGCAAGGTTTATGCTTCTAGTACATTTAAATCTTTTTTGTTTGTTTGTTTAACTATGGGAAAAATGATGGAACTGTTGAATTTGATCATAACCAACTATTCCATTTTTCAGACTTTCAAATCAGTTTTGGGCCATCCTATAGTAACTAAAAATGAATACATACCTAAATACACAGGAACGCATAAGGTATTTAACTTGGTTATCCAGATGTTTGAGTTTAGGAGTTTGGTTCAGTATTACTTTCTCTTCACTCTGCCCAAATATATCAAATTGTAAATTGAAAACTAAAATGTGTACCATATTGAAAAAATAATTCTAAAAAAAATTATTTCACAGTTTAGGAAGAGCTTGGATGCCTAATCACACATATTTCCTTAAGTACCATAATAAATTTGAATTTATTACAAATGTTAATGCCCTAGTTGTAAATCTTTTTATTAATGCAAACGTCCATGTGCAAATGAAGTCTGGTGCTATGACTGCTTACAGTAGCTGTGTTCCAGATTAGAAAATAAAGAAGAATAACATTTGGGTTAATTTTTCTGGCACATATTACTGTGAAGAATTTTTGCTTATTGACCCATTTAATAAGCAGACTTGATATTTTATGGGACATTTTCCATATAGGTATATTTGAATTTTGATGAAAAAAGTTGTAATCTGGTCAACTTCATTGTGATAGCTTTTGTACAAACCCAGAAGACTGAAATGGTTGCATGTCTCTAGAAGTTCATTGTAATCCTGTACTGCTTTTTTGCTGCTAAGATTTTCCATCTGTGTCACTTCTATCTCTTGACATTTCTTCCCATATAGGGCATCTCTAAATTCCACATTCAGAATCTCTTTTGCTTTTTTTTCTTGGTGTAAAGAAAGTGGCTGCAAATTCACACATCCCACTTAACATAAAGATAATTCTAGTCAGCATCCTTTATTTTAAAAGTTTCAGACAACATTGAGCAGATTATGTGCTCATCTGTGTTTTGGAAATTATGCACACCAGACTTTAGACATTTATTCACATGAAACTAGTATCAGGATGTATTCCTGTGCCCACTGTGAGCAGAGCAGGCAGCACCCACAGACACCAAGTGCGTGGTGCCCACTCTGAAGCTCTCCACAGAGTAGACAGTACAAGTCTGTCTCCTGCATGCTTTGTCCAGGTTGCTCTCCTCTCTAAGTTGATAGTAGCCTGTTCCTGGCTCCCAGGTTACAGATACAGGGCAACTACGTAACAGTGAGAAAGGCATGTGTGTTCAGCTTGCTCTGTCTGTGTATACCTCCCCATGAGCAAGTGTGCATAAATGAAAAGTGGAAACCATTTCTATTTCAGTCTTTGTTGTCCATGTATATGAGTGTGTTGAGTTTAAAAGTTGTGATTCTATCAGCTAAAAAAGCACGAGTCATGTTATATGGAGCCTTCCATTGTACAGTTCTGTTATGAAATCACTGGACTTTTTTTCTTCTAAAACAGGATTTCTAAAACTTCTCTTATTGAACCTTAAGAAAATTTGCAGGTAACACCCTCCAGATAAGGGGAAACCATCATGTTTTTCATCCTCAATTCTTGAGTTTGTGCTATGCTTGTCTGTAGTGAATGAAAAATGTAAAAACTTCATGTTCTGTATTTTGTGTCATCCTTGTGACCGTCTCTGAGTTATGCCATTTATGAATATTTATAGCTGCCCTTCCTGGGTCTGAAATTGTCAGTCTATTTCATAAGTAGTGGATAGGACTTCTAGGGTAACTACTGCTTCACAGTGAGTCTCCTAGGACAGAAAAAGGTGCAGAATATTCTTGGGTTTTGAATACACTTCGGACATCTTCCTAAAATCAGTTGTGTTGCCAGCAAGCCTTCCCCCCATGATGCGTTTGCTTATGCTGTATGTCTGCTGGGATGACTGCCTTTCCCATTCATCCTGGGAGATGGCTTTTCCTGTTTTTAGCTTCCTACTTATCTCCTAGGATGGACATAATTAATCACCTCCTGTATTCTGTATGTATAGCATATCTATATGCCAGATTCTGTACAATGCACTGACAACTCAAAGATGAACAAAAAATTCCCCTTGTACCCTTTATCTCATGCTTGCGTATCAGGGAGAATCAAGCCAAAATTCAGCAGTGTAGCTAGTGCTATATATAAGATGATGGATGTAGAATTGAAAGCTGTTTATGTAACATTTTGATCATACATCTGTCCAAGCATGTGCAGTGCATTATAGTTTATTTATGTAACTGTTCTAACTATGCTGATTTAAAAAAAATCTTTTATTGATTTATTTATTTGGTACAGCATCTTGCTATGCAGCTCAGACTCGTGGTGATTCTCGTGTCTCAGCCTCCCCAGCACTGGGATTGCAGGTGTGCGCCCTCGTGCCTGGTTTCAGTGGCTGGCATGGTGCTCTGGGGCCAACATGGAATGTGGCACTGGAAGTTGAACCTGGGTCTTTGCACTTGCCACACAGATGCTTAGACCACCAAGCTATCTTTCCAGTCCTAGACTCTGCTTCTTAAGGGCAGGAACTGTGTTTTACTCATCTTTGAGTCACCAATATTTGGACACTTCTGGTACTGGCTGGCTGTTACCCATCCAAAGATGAGAGATGTGGTCCCTGTGCTAAAGAACTCTTCCCCTTGTGGTGGAGATGATGTTCACTTAGACTCAAAGGGTAATGGGGGTGGGGGAGGAAGGACATTAATAATCTAGGGGAAATCTTTCCATGAAAACTAGGCAAAATATTTAGTGACATTTGAAGGCCAACTACCAGTCAGATAACATGTGGAGTCCAACGCAACTTAGACTGTATGGTTTTGTTTTTCATTAAAGGCTATGGAATGCCAGGGGGAGAATTTTAAGCTGAGGAGTGCTATGAGGAATGTTTCAGAAAGGATACTTGATTAACAGACCAGTTAACACCATACTCACCAGAGAGGATTACCTGAAGTAAAGCAGTGATTTGAGCTGTGGAAGGGATAAACATGGTTATGGGTTGTGATGGGCAGGCCAGAATTGCCAGGCTTTTGACATAGGCAGATGGCTGTGCCCATTGCTGAAACAGAAAACATAGGATTCTCTACTGTCTGCTGACTGCCTTGTTTATCACCTCTTGGTGAGGCCTGCAGAAGGAAGGAACACAAGGGACCTGTGCCCATGCCTTGCAGCTACCACGCTGGGGCTCTGTGCATTCCGGTCATGGTAACTCCCACCACTGCTTACAGAAAGGCCTGCTTCAAGGAGCTCTCTTCCAGGCTTTAGCTCTCTCCCTGCCCCACCAGGACTGCAAAGTCCTTGAAAAGCAGAGCTGCTTTGCAGGTCAAAGGCCATTGGGAGCTTCTGTCCCTTCTGTCTTCCAGCAAGGCCAGAGTTCTCTTTGCTCATTGTGTGGTCCAAAGAAAGCTACACCTCATTCTTGAAATGGTTTGTTTTTTTCTCATCTCACTTATTGTTTGGCATCTGAGGAATTCAGCCAAATCTGTATTTTGTTTTAGTTAACACAATAAAAGCTGCTATAACTTGCTCCTTTGCCAAGGCCAGTTGCCTAGATGCATGTGGCTATTCAAATCAGCTGCGGAGAGCTGCCAGCTCATCTTGGGCTGAGCTTGGTGATCCTCATAATCTGTCATATTGGATATAATTAGTGGCATCAGAATACATGATGGTCTCAAGAGGGATTTGATGCAGTTCAGTCTTCAACATTATGGCTGATGGAGACTTCACACAAAGATTGACAGCAAGTGGAGACTGAGATGTTTTATTACCGGCAGGTGTCCAGTAGATCCCAAAAGTATGCTATCGGGTAAATTATGATGATGAAGATGCTTAGGCCCAAAAGAGGTCATAGGTCTTCCTGTCTCTCTGGAGACCTGCATTCCTTGGTGTGGTGGGTGCCTTACATTCCATGTCATCAACAGTGAGGCCCACAGCCCTGCCGCACATGCTTAGCCTGCAAGGGGCAGTGGGAATGGAAGTCTTCATTGCCTTCAACTCAAGTGGTCAGTAGCAAAGAGGAGTTGGAGAGACCAGGGTCC